GAGGAAAGAGCATGCCAGATGCTCTTAGCAAGACTATCCCCGTCTGGTGCGCGGTGCTCAACACGGCATCGCAGAGAAAGTATGGAGTGCCTACTTCGGAATCGGAAGCGTTCGGACTGCATACGCCGACATGGATGATCCCTCCATCAGAGCACGATCAGATCCGGGCTCGCATCGATGGCTTCGTCACAGCGCTTCTAAATTCTGACCTGGATGTGCCCAGGCTCGACAAGCCGCTCCAACCAATCTTTGTCACGCCGCAAAACGACATGGACATGCTCCCAAGCTCGCTTGCCAACACGACTGCGACGGAAATTGTGCCCATCGTATTGCTGTCCGCATCTAGGTTCATCTCTGACTCGGCAAGCCTGGACTCAAACACGCCTGGTGGGGCAGAGACAGGTGGCAACAGCTTTGTATACGTGCAGGGCGCAGGCGACGACCACGAGAACTGGGCTCGCGGCCTCACGCCAGACCTTTTCTGGCAGCACAGCGATGCTTTACTGGCGTGCGAGAAGGACCTACTGGAAGAGGCGGTCGACAACCTGGTAAAGCATCATTCGACTGCAAGCGGAAGCCGCGCACATTGGTTCACACCTCGCGCTGTCGGGTCCGAGCCGAGCGATGGAGCCGACGCTGCGAACCGACTGGCAGGTACGGCACAAGGCGACGTGGAAGTTGGCAATACTGGCATCTTCATCGGGGCACGTACAGCCGAACACAACTTTTCACCGGATGAGCGGGCGCTGTACACCCGCATCATTCATTTCACCAGCCTTGCACCTCCTGCTGTCCCTTCGAACCTCTCTTTCAACCTTGAAGCGCTCAAGATTTCCGATTCGGAGCCATCGTCCAATGTCTATCCAATACACATGTCGCCAAACAAGAAAGGTCTCCTGGCTATCCGCACAGCATTCCCGCCGGCGATCACGTGTGCTTACCGCACATTGATCGACCCAGCAAGCGCGGTAGGAAGTCGGCCAAAGATCCTCGTGAGCTGCCAGGACGGTAAGGATCTCTCAGGTAGCCTTGTGGTTGCGATCCTCGCATCTTGCTTTACCGACACGCGCCAACTCATCACTGCAGATGAATCCAAGCGCGAACACGAGCTTGCGCTCACCAAGGACACCACACGGCGCCGATTGCAGTGGCTCGTCAGCGCCAGCCCGCGTGCTGCACCAAGCAGGGCATTCTTGCTGCGCGTCAACGAGCTTCTTCTCAGTCACAAGCACAAACCAGCACCAACATAGCAACACCGTCTACAAGAATGTATTTGTATGCATCGCCTCGTGTGCTGTTGAGAGGCGGACTAGAAGCCACCGCTGAGGTTGTGACCATGGTCGTCGCGGATGCTCTGACTGCTGCCACTGGGGCTGTCAGGTGCAGACGAGTCGGACTCGGTGTCGGATTCGGCGGCGCGCGTTTCGCCCAGCACCATGCGTGCGCGCTTGCGCTTGTTCTTGGCCTGTGCGATATCGGGTTCCGCTTCCGCCTCGGCAAGTGCAGGCTTGTCCAGGTCACGCTCGGCATCAAGTCGACGTGCGCGGTTCTTGATCTCGCGAGCGTGCATCCCACCACGGCCGGCAGCAGACACATCAATCTGAGTCGCTTTCGAGTGCAGCAGCTGCTCCTCGACTTGCCCACTGCGGCGCGACACCTGTGCGGAGGTGGGTCGAGCCTCGCTGCGCTTCTTTGCGGGGCGCGGTTCACCATTTGATGCGCCCGACTTGGCCAGGATATCTTCCTCGACATATAGCATCAAGTTGATCACTCCCGAGTCGAGTGTTTTGATCGGCCGAACCTTGGGTGCCGCATCGATACCTTCCGACGTCTGCTGGCGTGCTCCTTGTCCTCGGCCCAGATGTTCGGTATCAGCGGGAATCCAGTCGCCTGTGTTGGGTTCGTTCCGATCTTTGCCGGTAGGAGAAGTATCCTCGTTGTTCATCTCGAGCACGATCGCAAACGTGAGCTCGGTGGAAGTATTAGCATCGGCGCCACCGCCAGCTTTGGACGGGGGAGCAGGTGGAATGTCATAGAGGATGCCATCGACGACCATGAGCTTCTGCATAAATCCGCGAAAGATAAGTTCGAGCTCGGCGCTCGTCACGTTGCTCGAGATCGCAAGGTCTCTATCGCGCGGATCGATCAGCGATGACGGGAGGATGTAGTCCAGGCTGAAGATGAAGCGCTCGTACGCATCCGCTGCGTTCGCATCGCTTTCATTCGTCGATCCACTGGCATTGTTGCCGCTTTGAGCATCAGCCACAACGTTGGGACGAACGACGAGGATGACCTTGCTGACGCTCGACCTTTCGATCTCGCGTCGGAGCGCAGCAAGCACACGCGAGATGTACTCGTTCAAGCCAGGGTGTCGAGACTGATAGCAAGGGTGGCTGTATTTCTTGCGCCGTGCGAACACGTCAAACGGATAGACGGAGCGTAGGCATAAGATCGTGTGGAAGGCCACCTCGAGAAAGTCGATGATGCCCGAGATGAGCTGGTTGTATGTGAGCGGCGAATCTTGAAGCAGGTCGCGAGGAGGCACGCCATCGCGATCCGGGTCGATCTGCCGAGCCTTGCCTTTGTCCATGGCTGTGGATCGTGCTATGGCGCTGCCATTTTGGCCTTGGTCTGCCGCTTCTATGTCGAGTGCAGGTCCGAGAGCAAGATGGATGAGGCGGAAACGTGTTGTTCGGGCTGAGCTTTTGGGCGGTTTCAGGGTCCAACCGCCGAGGTGCATGCGGATCGCAGAATCTGTGCTGATCTGCCCCGATCGAAAATGCCTCCACTTTCAAGAGCGAAGGAGGGTTCAAGAAGAAAAGTTGACGGCTTCCTCCTCCTACCCCCCTTCACCCCTCCAAACCCTGTCAACGCCGGCTCCCCTCTGACACCAACGCAACAGTCAGGCACTTCATAAGTCGTTCACGTAGGATGTCGGCTGTGTCGTTGTGGTCGAGGGCAGTGAGGCACATTGCCGCAGGCAGGGCATGCTCGAGCGGCTCCGCTTCTGTGACTAGGGTGCTTCCATCGGCATATCAGACCACACGACTAGCTTCAACGTCAGCGGCCGCGGGCCCCAGCACACCGCCCGAGATCAGGGGAGGTGGGAAGGTCCGACGCTCCCCGTCCCCGAAGGCTCGCAGACACCATGGAGACAAGACTGGGCCCAGCTCAACTCAGAACAGGGCGGTCCCGTCAGACCGCACCGACGAGCGACCGGAGTCGCGAAAGAGGCTATCTGGCTTTTCGAAACCTAAAAGCAATCGCCGTGGTGGGAATTTCTACAACACAAAGCAGAGCTTTGCCTTCAAGCTTTCCTCCGCCTCTAGCGATCCTCACCCGCGAATCGCAAGTGCTCCATCCACCTCCGACGGCGTTTCGTCGAGCAACCAAGATGCCTCTCATAGGGAGATCTCGGCTTCCATAGGATCTGAAGATACCGGCCATGGCGCAGAAGTTCAGGCAGAGATGCCGGATCAAGAAAACGGAGAGAGCGCAGCAGGGCCTTCTGGGACGAATTCGCCACCAAATGACCAGCTGGTGACAGCGGAGGAGCGGCTGCGGGCGTTTTTTGCGGCCAAGACGGGAAGACCTTCCAACACCTCATTCAAGGCGACGCTGGCAGAAGCGTCAGAAGAAGACTCTTCGTCTACGTACCCGATAGATCAAGGCTTGCAGCTCGATGCCATCACGGTCGATGACGCTGCGAGTCAGCCGGCTGCCTCTTTCATCGAAGAGACGGCCTCTCCCATCTTCTCAAGGCCCAAACTTGCCGATCTGCAGCGGGCAGGGCAGGGCGACGAGCTCGTCGGGCTCTATCAGTCCGACACTGTATGGGATCCCAGCAAGGAATACGCCCTCATGCCCGAAGGACCTGAGCGCACGTCGATCGTGGCCAAAGTGTTGGATCGGGCGCCTACACAACACATCATGGTCATCCTGGACGGCGACAATCTGCTTTTCGCGCCACAACACATGAACAAGGGCTATGAGGGCGGCAAATTTGTCTACAATGAGCTGCGCGAGCGGATCGCCAAGAAGCATCGTCTCAACCCAAAGAACTTGGATCTGCGCATCCGCATCTTCAGCGCGACGAACGCGCTTGCCACGGTGCTCAACAAAGCGCGAGTCATGCGCAAAGACTTTTTCTTCGACTTCCTGCAGGGCATCATGGACAGCGGGCCGTACAACTACGTGATAAATGTGGGCAAGGCGAGTCAGGCTGCCGACATCCGCGTCAAGGCGGCGCTAGCCGATGCGATCCGCGATCCGCGTTGCTTTCGCGCCTATCTTGGCGGTTTGGACGACTATGGGTACATTGAGGACCTCCGTCTGATTCACGAGCGCGGCTTGCTGGAGAGCAAGGTCAACTTGATTCAGGTGCCCGGCTTCGCGCGCGATTCGAACGTGTACCGAGCCTACGCGCATCGAGCGATCGATCTCGACTATCTGTTCAAGAACAACAAGGTGGCTCTCGCTGACATGCAGCTATACGTGAGCAAGTCCATGCCGACGTCAATGATGGTGTTGATGGATCCAGACTGACATTCTCTGACTTTGCCTCTTGACCGCCTGAAGGACGAGGAAGCGTTCAAGACAGGAGATACGGTGGCGAAGGCGGTCTCGAAAATCCCCTGTGCCTTCCACCACTTGGCCAAGGCGGGCTGCAACAGCGGTGACTCGTGCCAATACTCGCACGAACCCATCACTGACGAGTACAGGGAACGCCTCCGCAAGCGGTATAAACAGCGCAAGTGCCCGCTTCTGACGAGGGGTGAACAGTGTCACTTTGGCGACGACTGCCTCTTTTCGTAAGTGTAACATTATTCCGCAGGACAGGGCCGGCGGTCGACCGTCGTCGAGGGCCACAGTGTGTGGGGGTCTGATACCCTGACGCACGCCTTTCGCCTGCTCGCGCTCCCTCGTATGCGGCGTTATCACACTTGCTGACTATCCCTCGCTTTGGCCTTCTTATGCTCTCGGTTGCGTCTTTGCAGACATTGAGGCACTTTGCTCTGGCAATATCTACAGTCATCTCAAGCGTCAGCGTCTTACGGTCTGCTCGCGCGCACGAAGATGGTGTTACAGTATCAGTGGACTCGGGAAGGTCCAGTGCCAAGGCTCCGGAGCGACAGACGCGAAGAGAGGTAGATGCCATGTGACACCAGGAACGAGCCTCGCCCCAGGGGGGCAACGTCGGTGCACCGTGTCGTCAGGCATCATGACAAGGGGGCCCTGAGAGGAGCCTCGCTAGTGCCACGTGTGGTTACACCGAGGTCTTGGCAGTCCTCGTATCTCTTGCTCATGACTTTACGGCATGGAACGACACGATAACCTCGTTGCGGAGCTAAGCCGGCGGGCGAAACTCTTGGCGTCGTGCCTCGCGGTGTGCAGTCACAGCAGGTTGTAGCACCCCATGTCAGCCAACCCGAAGCGACCTGCCAAGACAAGATCGTTCGCCCCGCCATGAGCGTTGAGCGTTGAGCGGGGCGTCCTCGGGCGAGGCCGGTAGGGCTTCGCTGTGGTGGATGACCTCGCCGGAAGCCTGCGGCATCGATAAGCATACGCACCTCTGGCGGATGAGCCGACGTTGTCCAGCGGCAGACCAGTGACCCTAGGCTCAGACACACTAAACCCAAGTTTGGAATTTGACGACGGAAACGGCACACAGAGCCTAAACTAATTCTCCGAGCGTCGACAGAGAATGCGGAGTGGCGGCACTGCACCAGTCAAGCGGTCATATCGGCCCTTTTCTCCACACGCCAAGACTTGCGTATGGCTTGCGTCAGTAAGGGGTGTACATTGGAGGCACCGCAAGAGAGCAAGACTGGGTGGTCTTGGCAACCTCCCTTGGCACTTAGTTGCAGCGTCAAGACAGCTCTTCTGCCTTAGAAACGGTAGAACATTTGGAGCACGTTTGCTATGGCTCAGTTTCGTTCCTGCACTCCGGCTCTTGGCATTTAACGTATTGGCCTGGCGTCTTTGTTTAGCGCTCCTGCTAGCGCTCCTCGGTCACTCCGACGCTGCCCTTGGCCGCCTGCGAAGGCGTTTCGGAAGATATTCACCGCGATGTCTGCCTGCAGCTGCCGGTACCACAAATTTCTTGGCCGCAGCCCGCAGAGTCAACAACGGCGGTCGACTCTGGCACGTATTGCCTGATGACGTCCCGAGCATCGTGACGCTCTCCTCCTGCCTGCGTCTGGCAACGGGGCCATTGCTGTATCGGCGAGCTGCACATGAGACACGATGCCTGCGGCTACGTCTCTCTGCTCACGTTCGAGCTGGAAGGCGCATGATTCTGCCTTGGCCAAATTCGCGCACCACCAGCCTCCGCAGCGCCCGGTTGGTTTGATATCGCCATCCGCATTTCTTGGCATCCCGCAGCCACAGTCGCAACCTGCTTGTAGTCAGCTTTTTGCACCTCGCCGTGTCCGCCGACACTGCTCCGGTACCCGGCGCTCTTCGACAGCCCTCCCTCAGAGGTGCTCCACTCCCGCTCGTGATCATCGGTGGCCGCCCACGTTTCTAAGCAAGGCACACTGATGCCACGCCTGATCTTCTGTCGTCGTCTGGCGAGCCTTCGGTCTTGGCACGCCGCCTCCGTCGTCTTCCAGGGTCCCCCCTTCGCCTCGCTTTGGCGTGCTCGTGCTTATCGTCATCGCCAGATGAAAGATATATAACGTCCAACCTCCGGCGGCTTCTTCTTCTTCCCCCTTCTTCTTCAACAGCTCCCACTCAAGCAAGACGAGCAAGCAACAGCCAAGCCTACCTCCATCACTCATTCGGAGCTACGCTACATTTCCCTTCCCTTTCTACATTCTGCTGGTCGGCCTACCTGTCTGCGATAGGCGACTCGGCTCACACTCACACAAGCGCAATCCACCAAGCGCTCGAGGCAAACACCTCCATTCCCATCCCCAAACGCATTCCCGTTCAGGCTGCCCAAAATGGTCAAGAGAGAGGAGGAGAAATTCCCCCGCTCCGACACCGTTCAGGGTCCCGACATCTCCATCGATGACGCGCTCGAATCAGCGTGGCAGTTCCACTATACCAGCGTCCTGCGCGCTCTCGGCGTAGAGGATGCCGAGCACGGTCTCAACAAGCGCGACATCGAAGCGCGACGCCAGCAGTATGGTTCCAACCAGCTCGAAGGCGGCGATGAGATCAGCATCTGGAAGATCGCTCTTCACCAGATCGCCAATGCCATGACTTTGGTCCTCATCCTTGCCATGGGCGTATCCCTCGGCATCGGCTCGTGGATCGAAGGTGGCGTGCTCGCTGGTGTCGTCGCCATCAACATCATCGTCGGATTCTTCCAGGAGCTTTCGGCGGAGAAGACCATGAACGCTCTCCGCAACCTCGCCTCGCCCACTGCACGTGTCATCCGAAATGGTGACGGAGAGACCATCTCGGCCAACGAGGTCGTTCCCGGAGACATCATCGAGCTCACCACCGGCGACACCGTCCCCGCCGACTGCCGTCTTATCGACTCGATGAACTTTGAGACCGACGAGGCTCTCCTCACGGGCGAGTCGCTCCCCGTTGCAAAGGACCACACTCAGATCTACTCGGCCGCCGAGGAGGTCGGCGTCGGCGACCGTCTCAACATGGCTTTCACCTCTTCCACCGTCTCCAAGGGCCGCGCCACGGGTGTCGTCGTGGGTACGGGCATGAACACCGAGATCGGCAAGATCGCCGACGCCCTCCGCGGAGCAGCCAAGGCACAGAAGATCCGCGATGTCAAGCGCAACGCCTACGGCAAGGCTGGACCCCACCGCTACGTGCAGGCCGGCGCTCTCACCGTCTGGGACAAGGTCAACAACTTCCTCGGCACCAACAAGGGCACTCCGCTTCAGCGACGTCTCTCGCAGCTCGCCGTCGGCCTCTTCTTCGTCGCGGTCCTCTTTGCCATCATCGTCTTCCTCTCGAACAACTGGACCGATAACGAAGTCATCATCTACGCCGTTGCCACGGGCGTTTCCATGATTCCCGCCTCGCTCACCGCCGTCCTGACCATCACAATGGCCATGGGCAGCAAGGCCATGGTAAAGAAGAACGTCATTGTCCGAAAGCTCGAGTCGCTCGAGGCTCTCGGATCGATCAACGACATTTGCTCCGACAAGACCGGCACTCTCACCCAGGGCAAGATGGTCGTCCGCAAGGCGTGGGTCCCCGCCTCGGGCACGTACAGCGTCTCGGAGACCAACGAGCCCTTTAACCCGACTCTGGGAGAGGTCAGTGTCAACAACGTCGAGCCCCGCAATGTCAAGACGGCTCGCGACTCGATCGAGGACTCTGGCGAGGTTGTTGCCCGCAACGGCCAATCCGACAAGGTCGAGGGCAACGACCGCTTCGAAGACTTCATGAACGTCGCTTCGCTTTGCAACCTGGCCACCGTATTCAAGGACAAGGAGACCCACGCATGGACTGCTCACGGTGACCCCACCGAGTGCGCCATCCAGACGTTTGTCACGCGCTTCGCCTGGGGTCGTCTTCGCCTGACCAAGGGCAAGAACCCCGACAAGGAGGTCACCGAGAAGGACCGCGACGCCGCCAAGTGGACTCAAATCGCCGAGTACCCCTTTGACAGCTCCGTCAAGCGCATGGCCGTCACCTACGTCAACAACAAGACCCACCAGGGCTACGCTATGATGAAAGGCGCCGTCGAGCGTGTCCTCGAGTCCTGCGTCAAGGCACAGACCGACGATGGTCTCGTCGACTTCAACGAAGACTTTGAGGCACGAGTCCTCGAGAACATGGAGGCTCTCGCCATCCAGGGACTCCGTGTGCTCGCCCTCGCTCACCGCGAGATCTCCGACAAGGAGAAGGAACAGGGCGAGGAGCTTGAACGTGCCGATGTCGAGTCCAACATGATCTTCCTCGGTCTGGTCGGTCTGTACGACCCTCCTCGTCCCGAGACCGCAGGCGCCGTGCGAAAGTGCAAGGAGGCCGGCATCACCGTCCGCATGCTGACTGGTGACCACCCCGGCACCGCCAAGGCCATCGCCCTCGACGTCGGTATCGTTCCCCGCAACACCACCAAATTCTCCAAGGCCGAGCTCGACACCATGGTCATGACGGCCGCTCAGTTCGACAAGCTTTCTGATGCCGAGATCGACGCGATGCCGCAGCTTCCTCTCGTCATTGCCCGCTGCGCGCCTCAGACCAAGGTCAGGATGATCGAGGCTCTGCACCGCCGCGGCAAGTTCTGCGCCATGACCGGTGACGGTGTCAACGACTCGCCCTCGCTCAAGATGTCGGACGTCGGCATTGCCATGGGCATGAACGGATCGGATGTGGCCAAGGATGCTTCGGACATTGTGCTTACGGACGACAACTTTGCCTCGATCGGGAACGCCATCGAGGAGGGCCGCCGCATGGCCGACAACATCACCAAGTTTGTCTGCCACCTGCTTGCTCAGAACGTCGCTCAGGCTTCGGTCCTGCTGATCGGTCTGGCCTTCAAGGATGACACTGGCCTCTCGGTCTTCCCTCTGTCTCCTGTCGAGATTCTGTACGTCATCATGGTCACTTCCGGTTTCCCTGCCATGGGTCTTGGCATGGAGAAGGCATCGTCGGACATCATGAAGAGGAAGCCGCGCTCGAACAAGTGGGGCATCTTTACGCCCGAGATGCTCATCGACCTTACCGTGTACGGCTTCTGGATGTCGGCGCTCTGCTTGGCCACCTTTACGCTCATCACGTTCAACTGGGGCGACGGCAACCTGGGCAACAACTGCAACTCGGACTACAACGACTCGTGCGAGCTCGTCTTCCGTGCGCGTGCCGCGACCTTTGCCGTCATCACCTGGTTCTCGCTCATTCTGGCCTGGGAGATGGTCGACATGCGCCGCAGCTTCTTCAACATGCGCGACGACGGACGCTGGTACAACCAGTGGTTCCGCGACACGTGGAGGAACAAGTTCCTCTTCATCTGCATCGTCGGCGGCTTCTTCAGCGTCTTCCCCATTCTCTACATTCCCGGCCTCAACCGCGTCGTCTTCCTGCACGAAGGCATCAGCTGGGAATGGGGTGTCATCATCGTCTGCACCGTTCTCTTCGTCGGCGGTATCGAGGCTTGGAAGTGGGGCAAGCGCGTCTACTACCGTCGCACCGAGGTTGACACTGCCAAGCTCGTCGACGAAGAGGCGGGTGTCGCGGAAGAACACGACCGCACGCCCGTCGACGGCGAGAAGAAGCAGCACAGCAACGAGCACAGCAGGAAGATGGTCTCGGCCCCCACCACGTCGTCCGAGACGACCGCCGTGCACCAGATGGCCTAAGTGCTTCTGCTCGCCTGTAACCATCAATCAGCATCTCTCTAGCATCGCACCCATCTCTGCTCTTTTCTGTACAATACACTCTTCGTCTCAGCATCGTTTACCTCGAAAAGCATCTCCGCCTTGCAAATAGAAGGACCGCTTGGTCAATGCAACCAATCTCGTCGCATCAGGGACAGAGTGGACGGATGAATCCTATGCGAAGAATCAACTTGAGCAAAGTGTTAGAAATTAAGGCGTGAATTATGGCTCCAAAAAGCTGACACTGAACTCGAGGGAGTTTGTGAATGATTGAGCACCATGCTAGAACTGCCGAGCGAAATGATGAGAGAAAGCTGCTTTAGGGCTTGAGCATGGTAAGGCCCATCCTTAGGATGCTGCGATACCCATCCCGAGGGCCCGAGATAAAGCAAGCGCTTTGGGCTAGGATTGTAAGCGAGGGCATGAAACGAGGCTGTCCGGAGCACCTTGGCCCGAGGCGGCTGAGTCGTCTCTCACGAACCATCACAGCCCTCTTCAGCAGCGCAATTCTTGTTGTGGTATCATAGTATGAAAATCGTTCCTGATGAGGAGGCCTTGCTATGCTCGGGCTCATTGTTGGCAGCCCCGATCAAGTTTCGCTGCCTCTTGAAGGTGCGGCTGGTGGATGCCAGGGCTGCTGTGGGCCGCCGGCTGGCTGCAGGGTGCGGTGTCTTTTGGATGCTTGGCCGAGCCCAAATTCTATAATAGAAACGCTTCCCGCGGAGACGGAGCTCGGCAACGTTGGTAGCGGCTACCGCCTGCTCGGCTGAGCAGCACATGCGCCTGCGCCTTGCTCTCCGCAACAACGGCCTTAGCCGAGTCTGTGTTATCTGGCCCGCTCACGATTTAGCCTCGGATCTCCAGCTGTGGATGCAGCGAGCAACCCCGGAGCCAGGCACGCCGCCTCCTCCGATGATGGCTGAGTCGCCGTTCGCAGGGACTCACAAACGAGTGAGCCGTCATCGCTCCGGGACTTTGATCAGCCTTCCATCATCCCACCAGGCCGGGGAATGGCGTCTCCGGCACTTGCACCATCTCGTCTAAGCTGCACGAAGGCTATATGGAGCGTGCCTCGCAGCATGTCCACACCATCCGCACTCCATCAAATAGACGCAATGACCAACACCGCCTTCTGCCGCGATGATGGCCGCTTCGGCCCCGTCTCGACCTGCAGAGCTTTCGACTTTACGCTGCGATTCGAGAGCAGCATTCTGTCGCTGCTTCCCAACGCCCTCTTCGCCAGCATCGCTCTTGGCCTCATCCTGTACACCTTGCTCTCGCGCAGGAGATATGTACAGCTCTCTGCTGTCCGTCCTGCCTGCGTCCAGCATCGCGATGGCGGCGGCATCCTCCTTGCGCTTCTCCATCTCGCGCTCGTGATCACACTCCTCGGCTTGGCCTCGCAGCATCTGCACGATCATGGCACTCTCCTCTTGCCATCGCTGGCTCTAGAGACGCTGTCAGCCTTGATCATCGCCTGCACGTTGGCGTTCTATCGCCCCGCTCGTGCTACGCCGATTGTCACCTTGCTCAGCGCCTTCCTCCTCTTCAGCTCGCTCTTCGCCGCGGTACAGCTGCGCACCTTCTACTTTGTCACGGCGGCACGTCGATCTGCATTTTTGCCCGTCTTTGCGGCCGACTTCGGCACCAGGTGGCTTCTGTTCCTCACGCTCTCAACCAAACCCTTCGATCCACGAAAGACATCCGAGGAGCGAGCGAGCTTCGTCTCCAAGATGTTCTTCATCTACTTGCTGCCCTCCCTCTGGCGAGGACTCAAGAAGCCGATCGAGCTTGACAATGTCGAGCCGCTAGCCGACTCTTATGCGTCGCGCACGCTCGAGGCCGAGCTGTACCGCCAGTGGCACGCCAGCGCTGAAGCCTCGTCGAGCCCGGGATCCGGCTCCTCCGAGGACGAAGCTCACGAAGAGTTGTCCTACTTGGATGCAGACGCCAAGTCACATCACAGCCTGTCTGCCATCGAGCTGGCCAGTCGTGGCTCTGCTGGCGCAACTTCGGGTCCAGCCCGCCTATCGTTCTTGCCGCGCCATCCTTCGATGCAGCCCAAGCTTGTCCATGCATCGCTTCGCGCCTTTGCGGGTGTTCTGTTCAGCCCTCTGCCATCCAAGGCGCTGTACACCGTCATGGTCCTCCTCCAGCCGCTTCTTGTCCAAGAGACCCTCGACTTCATCGAATCGTACTCCAACTCAGCCAAAGAGCCCAAACCGGCGGCGTACGGATATGGCATCGTAGGAGCTTTCTTCCTCATCTTTCTCCTGCTCGCACTGTCCCAGGGACATTTTACTTTTTCGATCTACAAGACGACGTGCAAGCTGCGTGGTGCACTCGTGCAGGCAGTGTATGACAAGACGCTCGTGCTATCGGTCGATGCACTCCAGGACACGGACACGCCATCGCCCACTGTGATGCAGTCGGTCGACATCGAGCGCATCGTTGGAGGTCTCGATCCGTTCCACGAGATCTGGAGCGCCGTGGTGATCATCATCGTGGCTCTCTATCTGCTCTGGCAGCAGATCGGTCCAGCTCTAGTCGCCACGATCGTTGCTTTGGCGGCGCTCTTTGCTTCGATCCCACTCATGACCAAAGACGCCAAAGCGAATCAAGAAAAGTGGAGCAAGCTGACCGATGAGCGCACGAGTCTCATCTCGGCCGCCATCAATGCCATCAAGGCGGTCAAGCAGTCTGCGCTCGAGGGCTTCCTGATTACCAAGCTCGTCAACATCCGGAAACGTGAAGTCAAGGCGCTCGTCAGCTACGTTGCGAACCTGCTCTGGATCTCGCTGCTCGGCAACGTCGCTGGCGATATCCTCTTGCTAGCCACCATAACGACGTTCGCGGTGATCTCGGCTTTGCACCAAGGAGAGACGCGGTATCCGTTCACCACCACCACGGTATTCACGACGATCACCATCATTCGCATCATTGAACGGCCGTTGTTTATCATCGGTCGAAGGTATGCGAGTGTCATCTCGGCGGTCACCTCGCTCAAGCGGCTGCAGACATTCTTGCTGCTTGCCGAGCAGGCGCCAGGCGAGAGTGATACGACGTGGTCCCCTCCCGCGGAGAAGGTCGCGCTGGCGGCTTCCGCCGCAGCCGTGTTCGAAGGCGCGTCGCTTGCCTGGAAGACAAAGGCATCCGCAGATCCAGCCTCGATCTCGGGTCCGGAAACAGAGACCAACAGCGTCGTGTCTTCAGATGATGCTCAGGCTGGCAACAAAGCAGCTCGCGAAGGACCGGTGCTTTCTGACCTGACGCTGACACTGCCGCGCGGTAAGCTCAGCGTGCTCGTTGGCGAAGTTGGCACTGGCAAAACATCGCTGCTCTGTGCGCTGATGGGCGAGTTGTCTGTCGTCGAGGGCACGGCAACGCTGCCTCTGCGTGCGGAGCCGGTAGCCTATGTGAGCCAGGATCCCTGGACGCAAGGCGAGCGAAGCATCAAGGAGAACGTCGTCTTCTACCGACCCTTCGACGAAGATCGATACCAACAGGCGCTGCTCGCTTGCGGGCTGGTCGTCGATGTGCAGCAGCTGCCCAAAGGTGACGGTACGCTGGCCAAGCATCTGAGCGGAGGCCAAAAGCAACGTGTGGCGCTCTGCCGCGCTGTGTATGCCGATGCACCCACGTACGTTTTAGACGATGTGCTTTCTGCCGTCGATGCCACAACGGCAGCAAGCATAAATCTCGCACTGTTCTCGCGTCAAACTGGACTGCTCCGCAACAAGACGATCGTCATGACGACGAACTCGGTGCAGCAGATGCAGCTTGCTGATCACATTGTGCAGATGGCCGGCAATGGCGGTGCCAAGATGCTGCACGGCGAGGCGCAGACGGTACTGCAGCTAGCTGACACGATCGATTCCGTGCGTCGCAAGTCGGAAGAGGCGCTAGACGACGAGGGCCCAAATGGCGAGAGCTCTGCAGCGGCCGAGATCCGAGCGGCGGCGGCAAAGGAGCGCAAGTTGCTCGAGATGGAAGAAGAGCAGGAGGAGGTGATGACGGGTCGCATCAAGTTTTCCGTGCTAAAGCGCTACTTTGGTGCGGCGGGCTGGTGGGTGTCGCTGTCGTATCCGCTTGCGCTGACGATCCAGACGGGCGCTGCCAACGGCCAGCTCCTCTGGTTGCAGGCGTGGGCGCAAGACATTTCTCCCGCTACACTGCGAGGCTCGATTGCTCTTCACGTAGGTATCCTTGCGCTCTTGGCTTTCCTGCGATTCACCACGTACGGCGGATCGCTGGTGATTTATCTCAAGGCTTTTTGCCCTCGGATCTCGCTCAAGCTGCATCAGGACGAGCTGGTGGGCCTTCTGCGGTCGGGCGCCGAATGCTTCCTCAACCTGAATCCCGGTCGGATGATCAATCGCTTCACGCAGGACATCTATTCGCTCGACTTCCAGATCTGCGCATACGTGGTCAACGTCTACTTTTTCATCATCGAGGTGGGCTTTAGCATTGTGCTGATGGCGCTACCTGCGCCATTCTTGCTGGGAGTGGTGGCTGCGATGGCAGTGCTGTACTATGGCATCTATGCACTGTACAGCCCTTCTTCGCGACAGCTGCGTCGGCTGGAGATGGCGACCAAGAGCCCGCTGCATGCGCAGTTCAAGGACACGGCGGATCTGCAGGGCCTGATGACGATCCGGGCGCTGGGCATGCAGCGATTCTTCTCGGACGCGACGTCGACGCTGCTCGACACGTCGCAGCGGCCGTACTACTCGCTGTGGACGGTGCGCGTGTGGCTGCAGACTTGGCTGAATCTGCTGGCCATGGTGCTCAATACGGCGCTTGTGCTGATCGCGGTGAGTCTGCGACACAAGTCGAACGCTGGACTGCTGGGTGTGGCGCTCATCCAGGCGATCTCGATCTCGAGCGACCTCAACGGGCTGATGAGTGCATGGACGGAGCTGGAGATCGGCATGGTGGCGCTGGAGCGCATCGAGCAGGTGATTACCATCGCTGCGGATCCC